ACTTTATTGTTTATTGTTAATCCTACAGTGTTAATGTCATTCTGATTGTTATTTTCCCTTTTATTCATGTCATTGTAATGTTCAATTATTTAGCCACTATAGGGCTTACTTACATCTGCAACAAATTGTATATTTGTTTATATGAATTTTTCTATTATTTTTATTTATTATCATTATTTATTTGGTTTGTATATCTCTTTATATGCTTATTTGAATTTTACTCTGCTTTAATTAATTGTTCTTTTATGTAAAAAATTTTTTTTTAAATTCCACTAGCATTGTAACCTCACTGGCCGTCCTTTCACTTTCTGTTTTAGCCGTCATGACTCCTCCCCCCCCATTTTTGGTTATAAGTTTGCAAACTTTCTCCTTCCCTTTCGCCATTTAGCATTCTCTCTCAGCCCCTTTTTGTTGATAGGCTTTTCTTCATTTCACCTGTTCGCCCCCTTTTTTTAGCCATGAAGGCTCTCCCCTTCACTTTCTAAAAGGGGCTAAAAAGGGAAAAGGCTTCTTCCCTTTTTAGCCGAAAGGCCTCCCCTCCTCTTTTAGCCATTTGGCTTTTCTTTGAGGCCCCCTTTTTCAGCTGATGTGCTCTGCCTTGTTTTAGCCTATCAGCTTTTTCCCACTTATCAGCATTTTTTAGCACATTTATCTGTTATCATCGCCAGCCATAAAGTGTCATAAATACAACATAAGTGAGCATACATTTTGTTATTCAAGTACTAATATTAAAAATTGATTGTTTAGACATTGCTGCATGAGTCATTACTCAAGTTGTCATGTGTTGATAAACATGCATTGATGAAAGTAAAATATAATAAATAATGATTTGCCAGGTTGGTGTCAGGGACATAAAATATTAGTAGCTGAAAAATCAAAGATGTTTATATGAATTTTTTTTGCTTGGGACCAAGCAGATACCCAGCTACAGAGCCAAATAATTGACCACACAAATGTATGCTAAAATGATGGTTTCTTCAATAACGAGGTATTTTATTTAGTGCGAAAGTGAAATTAAGAATTAGTCTCTTCACATGATTTATTATGAGGGGAAAAAATTAAATGCACATGTGTAAGCTTAAAAAAAGGAAAATAAAAAATATAACACAAATTGAAAAAAAAATCTGAAAAGTTTCAGATTTTATATTACGTCCAAAAGGGGCTTTTATTTTAACACTTTGTGTATTATCTTTGAAATATCATGTTCTTCGCACTTAAGCCACAAAATCCAATTCAACAGCAATATCATGAAATAATTTAGAAAGAGCATATTTTTAGAATTTCCGATACACAGTCTCACGCTCAATGTCCCCCCCCCCGTACAGTGTTGCCATTGCTCGCTTTGAAATTGTCTTAATCAAAAACTCATAAATGATCTACAAAATATTAAATAGATAATAAAAACAATTCCAATTTGGGCTTCCAGATGCCCATATTCAGGTAGAGACATAACATTATTTAAAATTTGATGGTTCTAGTTACCATTGTTTTATCACAATGCGAGAACACATACATTTATGCAGATTCTTTATTATCCAATTTCTTTAGATATAATACAGGGCGATAATATTTGGTGGCATCAATTTTAAAAGTGAAACGCTGTTTATAGTGAACAAATGCAAAATACCAAAACAAAATTAATAGGCTCTAGTAACTCAAAAAAGCTCTAGTACCACATATCTAGGTGTAGTGCTGGACAAGAAATTAAACTTTACTATTCATATGAATACTGTTATAGAAAAAGTAGAGAAAAGATCCTCAATTTTGAAAAGACTAGCTGGTACCAAATCTGGAAGTTCACAGACTACCCTAAGTAAAACTTACAACACTTATATTAAACCTATTTTCACATATGGAAGTGAGGTGTTAATCTCTACCACACAAGGGAAGACTGACCCTTTGGAAGGAGCCCAAGGCAAAGCTCTTCGAATTATCACTTCAACCCATTAATTGCTACTGAAATCAAGAAACAAGCAGTTGGTACATTTGTTAAAATGGAAGCATCTTAAAGAGCGCATTAGATAAACGAATGCAAACAAATACTATGAAGACCCAAATGTCTCCCCTAGAGGCTTGCAAGGAATTATTACAAAAAATAGATGAAAACAAACCAATGAATTGTAACAAAGACATGGTTAATCCCCTTTAATATACTGATATCAAATACAAGCTGACTTGACATAATATATGACTTGAAAAAGAAAAACATTCCTGATGCAATATTAAAATTAAACACATTATGTACGTTATTTGAACGACAGCTGAATTTGAATGGACTAGAGCAGGGCTTCTTAAACTTTTTTCAGTCGTGAACCCCCCTTTTATCACTGAGATGTTTTCCCAATCTCCAGGACCCCATAATATTTACGAAAGTTTGTGGGACCCCATAAGCATTGCGCAAATCCGACACATGCATGAGTGAAACTGTCAATTGTTTTCACTTGTACTGTAATATGCTATTGCAGTTTTAGGTCATTAACTTTAATTTCTAATTTTAAGACCTAGAACAATGTGAAAATTTTAAAGAAGTAACAGACAAAATGACAGCATCATGTGCAAAGCATGCAAAATGAATGTTTATACAGTACAAAGTCCGTAATCCGGACTTGTCAGGATTTCAGCGATTCCGGATTAGGGGTTTTTCCAGATTATAGATCATCAATTTAAATCTGGTAATATGGCATGCAGAAATTATACAATTAAAAATATGAAACTGTAATTTATGAAATAAAAAGCAATTATGATGTAAAGGGTATCAAAATTTACAAAAAAAAAAAAGCTTAATATTTGTTTACTTTATTAAACATTTCTAACATATCACGCCGCAATTCTGCATGCTAGCAATAACAGCACAGGCACAAGGAAGACTAACTCATAAGAATCAGTTCACTTCACTTGGGAAAAAAGTACAGAGTTTAGTTGTAGCACTGCTATACATGAAAACACAAACAGTTAACATTTAATTTAAAAGTTCGTTACATGGTTGCTGCAACCTCTCTGTCACTTTCTTCACTATCGGACTACAAATTTTCTTTTAGTTTCAGAAGAGTTAAATAACAAAAGTAAAATACTAGTGAAAATATACCCAGTTCTATATCGATGCTAATTACTTCATGAATAATCTTCATATATTCTGTACTCGATCTATGACAGCAGAGTGTGATATACAAATTAGCAGCACAGTATTAACACAGATTCATATGATTTAATGGGAGGTATACTATGATTAAAGAAGGGTGTGTATTTTACCAATGCATTTATGATCAAGAAAACATCTTGTCTATGGATATGTCAGCATACCACCTACAGGGATGAACCACATGAAACAGGAGTTGTCGTCAGCATACGTAAAATTTACCTAGGATAATGGTTTCGTATTAACACACGTTTTACCCACCCAATACAAAATCAAATTACCTGACTAGCTGCAGAATTTAATATGAGCCTTGCAGATAGAGTTCAAGGAGATAAAGTGTATTCATGTCTGATTTAGATATTAAAGTGATTATTATTTAACTAAAGTTTCCAACACTGCTATATTTTGTCATTTATAAATAGAATTATACATATCTTACATTTTTTATACATAAAACAGATTCTACTTACAGATACACTGAATACTAGTAATTAAACTTCTTAGGTTTCACAGCATTTGAAGATTTTTACATCTATATTTAAATATGTTGTTTTAATAAAAATTTTGCATTTGTTTAAAATTCAGTTGGTTTATGAATACTTTTCACTAGGGTTTGCAAGCTGCCTGACAGATATAGGTTTCTGCTACTAAAACAGAAGAAATAAATTTTCAAACATATTTCACATTTATATTTTATTCATACGTTCACAATTGTAATTAAAATATTTCCATTTTCTATATAATTTAACTGACATCATTTATATGTTTACAATAAAGCTTTTCTAATGATATACAAATGTGTATTTTTGTGCATTTGCTATAAATTTGCTGTCACATAACACAAGAGAACATTTTGTAATTTTGAGTAGATAAATTCAAGAGGAAAATACTAATTCTAATCCTATTGATTACAACTACATTGCATAGTTAATGTGAATTTCAGAAAAGTCACATTCCTTCCTACCATACAAAATTGAATGCATTGCAAAAAGCATCAGGGTAAAGGAAGATTTTGGAAAAGGTGTATTTTTAGTAGAATTGTGACAAGTTTCTTCCATTTGAAAAAAATTAACAGAAGAAATTGATATTTTATATATAACATCGCTATATTACTAATCAATATAAATGCTCTCATTGTATGTATATTTAGCCTAATTTATGTGCCTGCAATAGGCACTTTTGATATTATGCATATAAAAAAAGTATATCAAATCTTAAATTGTAATTTCGATTTTCTTACTGGGCCAACATGTTTGAGAGAAAGTAAGTCAAGAAAATACCACATAAGAAAATTAATAACTCTAACACAGTTTTCACAGGGTTTCTAGGAGAAGGGGATTATTTATTTTGCTTTGCAGTTTCCACAGAAATTATATATTTTGAAAAAACATGCTTCATCCAGAACAGTGGTTCTCAATTTTTTTTGTGCCATGTACCCCTTTCACCTTTCCCAGATGATCATTCATCTTCCCTCTCCTTTCCCAAATTGATAAACTACACACAAACTTATTTAAAATATAGACTATTTTTTATGTGTTCCATAAATTAAGCATGATAAGTATAGAAAATGTTGAGAAATTACAAAGCTTCATAAAAGTAGTTTTTTATGCTCATAAACTAAAGCTAAATATTTAACAGGTAAATAAAAGATTCATCGTAGTGCCCCCCCCCCCCGATTGAGAACCTCTAGAAGGAACAAAACCTTATTTTACTACACTCACTGAATACAGTGATAAATAATAGAACCTAAATTATTCAAAACTACTTATTTTATGCAAAGCAGTATTTTCAGAAATACCTGTTCAAGATTTAGTAAGCAAAATGTTAAAAATAATTTTTTATAGAGAACTTTATTTTTACTTACCACTTGGTCGATCTACAAAAGATCTAAGAAAGGCAAAGTGGCCTCTGACTAAACTTGAGTCAATCCCCCAGAAGGCGCCTAGTGCTCTGTACATGTCAGCGTCATCAACATCCTATAATTCACAACATTAAAAGTGAGCATTTTTGTTTCTTATTTTAATCAGACATTTAACAACAAACAATGAATACATTAGCAATTTATTACTCAGCCTAACAGACTTTAAAAAATTTTATATGAGGGTCTGAAAATAAACATATGTCTAATGTAAGAAGTAATAATGATACGAATAATTCTATAATCTTAAAAAAATTAATAAAATTCAAAATGCAGTACATAAACATAATAATGAGCACATGCCACTTTCTGTTAAAGTATAAAATGCACTAAAAACCACATAAAGAATAAAATTTTAAAATGATAGTAGGTGTTCTCGGTTGAGTTTAAAAAAATGAAAAGTCAGCTATTAAATATCAATGTACAAAAATGAAACATGGATTTTTAAAAACAAATTATAGATTTAAATTAAAAAAATAGTCACTCAGAACAGTTGGCAAAGGAATTAAACAGAACAATATGAAGAAGAAATCTAGATAAATTAAGCAATTTAATAATTTAATTTTGGCTATTGTATACATTTTTGAAATAATTATACATATTATATAAAAGATTATATATAATATTTCAATTAACTTAATTGGAATTAAGTTACATTTTTAAAATAATCACTAATAATGAACAGCAGTGCAGACAAAACATTATCCCTTTATTATCATGGTAGACAATTGCTACAGAAATAAGATGCATGATTAAATATACAGCCAAATGCTGGAAGTTACCCCAGCAACACACTTGGCGGAACTAACATCAGGTGGCTAGTAGCATCTTAAAACGTTAATGGCAAAGCATGCTAACATGCCTCCTTTTTTTTAAATCGGACTGTTCCCCATTGTTGAGCGAGTATGGAAACAGTTTATTAGAAGGCAGGACCTCTTGAGGAGATAGCCAAATCTGCCCTAAGAGATTATACATATGCTAATTCTGTGAGGTTTCCAATTTACAAGAAATGAATAATAGTAAAACAAATACCATCTGGAATTTGGCCTGCACTAACAGCACATTTCATGAATTACAAATTTTTCAACAGAAAATGATATACATGAATCAAACATGAAAGCAGTACTGCCATCATTTTGAATGGCCGAGAATGTGCATAAGATAACAAAGATGATGAATTGGCTTACAAGTTGAACCACCGGAATCACCTCACAGAAACTGTTAAGTTACCCCAGCTATAAAAAAGATACGAGGAAACAAAAACTGAAGATATTGTCAATGCTTTATATGTTCGCAACATTGATTTTATGAAAATCATAAGAATACAGATATGCAGAAAAAAATTACCACCTTCATATTCTTCATTCGTTACATGAACAAATATCATACAAACTCTAAAAGGACTGAAAATAAAATTTATGAATTAAAAATATACAATGATTTTTGGGCATTTCACATTTGGTATCTTTTTTTTTTTTTTTTTTTTTTTTTACACAAACACAACAAAAAAGGAACAGTCTGTAAATTAATCTTTTTTAAGAGCACTTTAATGTCATATCCTAATTATTTATGAATTTTAATAATTTTCCCCCTTAACAATTTCAAAGAAATTGAAAAACTGAATCCTGATATTTTACATAAATTTAAATTATTTTAATCATTATTCTAACACTCATATACGAGGCTAAATTTTTTCAATAAATTTTAGCATGTGAGAGAAAATTTTATATATATTTGAAAATAAATAATTACGGATTTTCTTGATTTGAAGGTCTTCAAAATAATTTATTACAAATTTGTCTTTTCTATTCATATCCACATTTAGAGAATTTGATTTCTTTTATTAAACTTCTGACATTCCGCACTCGCCTAATTAAATTAGAATTTAAGAAGAGGTTTGCCTCCTACCTATTAAATGAAGCTAAGGGAAAGGCATGGGAGTATTTGACACTTTGAAAGCCAGTTATTCCAGATTTTCCTCATCCTCTGTAGCTGTGGCGTTATTTCATCTTTTGAATGGGCATGGGTATCTGAATGCCCATCTTTTTAAAATTCGACTTAAGGACTTTTTAGTCTGTATTCTTTGTACTTCTGGACAGTCCATGGATAAACAGCATATTGACGAATGCACTGCACTATTATCTTTTAATTGACTGTTCTTAAGTATTGGGAAGGAAGATTAAGATTAATGGCTTAGTGACGAAATGTCTGACATTTGTATAAATAAATTTCTGACATCCAGTAAACTAAAAAGTTTTACATCAGTTTTGGTACATGCTGCACTTGGTACAATAAAATAATTTTATTTTATTAAATATTTACATATATAATGTGGTGCAGCTATATGAATATAAGTTTGGGAATTAAATAAAGAAAAAAAATTCAGTGAATCTGTCAAATCTCAATCTAGTCACAAAATATTTTGAAACAAAACTCATCCATAGCTAAGAATGAATAAAATATTAGGAGTTATTTACACTCAATATTCCCAGAAAGAAATATAAAAAAGTATTTTATGTTACATTGCCTGTAAATAAAATAATAAGTAGGACAGATTTTTTTTTTGGAAAATATTTACATTCCCTAAGAATACATCATATCAAAGCTGATGCAAATTAGGTACACATGAAAATCTTTTAATTTCATAAATTTCTTTTAACAGAAATATGAGAGCAGATTTTTTCCCCCTTTCTGTAAAATATTCCTGTCTGGAATGATTAATTTCCAAAAATTCTATGTTTCACTGCATGGATACAAAATGCTTGGAGCTCCTGTTAAGTTTGACCTTATTGAAAATAATTTTCAAGACACTGTGGGGCACAAGTGACTTGTCTGCAGTCACATCTGTCTACAACTAAAAAATGGCTGCAATAATTCGAAATTTATGTAGTAGCCTGTGGATTACATAATAAAGAAAAAAAAGGTGAGAGTTAAAACTTGTCTTTATGCACCAGGAATTCACAGTCTTGAAATATATACACAGTCTTGAATATTCACAGTCTTGAAATACATTTCCTGTAGAAGATGGTAAAGAAATTTAAATTAAATGAAATTAAGACCAAATTTACAGAATATTGTTTACCTAACAAAAATATTACATAAAGACTAGTCTTTACTAGAAATTAAACTGGATTGAAAACAATAGATAAGTATGTAACTGACCGTCGAAATAAAGCTAGATAATGAGAGTTTGCACAATTAATGGAATAGTCTGATAAATGACAAATTGTTTATGGTATTAAAGATGATGTACTGAGAGCAAGATTATTGCATGAAACAAAATTAACATAAGAAAAAGCTCTTGATATACACAGATCTGAAGATACAAGTGCACAGCAAATGAAAGTAATAAAAGATAAGGAAACTGTTGTAAACATAGTGAAAAAGAAACTAAGCAAACATAAGAATATATACAAAGAAGCAAATATTGAGTAATAAGCAATCAAAGTTTGTTCTAATTGTGATATTATTGAAAGTATCCAGCATATGGGAAAAAAACTGTCATAAGATTAAAAAGGCAAATAATTTTGCTAATCATTTAAAAGCTATCAAATAAAAAAATGATGCTATTAAGGTAAATAAAAGAGAAAAACAAATTAAATTATTTAATCATGATTCCGAGGAAGAGTTAAAATTTTATGTAGTTACATTAAAACTTTGTTGGGAGAACAAAGAAGAAAAATAGACTGTTGATGTTAATGTAAATAAAAATACATTTAATTTGCAGTTAGATACTGGAGCAAGGTGCAATGTTATTTCTAAAAGCAAAGTAAAAATGCTAGATGTTCTCATTACAGAAGTGTGAAATTAAAAGATCAGTTACATTCTCTGAGAAACAAAATGGATACTATTGGAAACATAATACCAATATAGAAAAATAATTATGTTGTAGCAGTCAAAGTTAATTACAAATAAGTACATTCTATGTTAGGATTAAAATCATATTTGCAACTAGGTTTGATTCAAAAGTAATGTCTGTTTATATTGACAAAGATGTATTTGAGTGCTTACGCTGTTTGAATGAAGAATATGAAATCCAGTTAAAACAAGAAGCCAGTACAACATCCTCCAAGAAAAACACCCATAGAACTACAAAGAATAGAAAATTTAAATGTCACTGAGAAAGTAGGTGAACCAACCGAATGGGTAAATTTAATGGTCCCTGTTGTCAAATCTAACAAAGTAAGAACATGTTTACATGCTAGAGATTTAAATAAAGTGATAAAACAAGAACATTATCTTATATTAACTGTAATGAAGTTGCCACTAGAATACCAAAATCAAAAGCAGTTTCTGTTTTAGATGCTAAGAGTGATTTTTTGAAAAATCAGTTTGATGAAGGAATAGTAATAATTTACTAGTAATTTGTGTGCATTCAATACATCCTTTGGCAGATACAGGGGTGTTTGTGGGATCCCAAAAAATCCCCTGAAACTTTTACGGACTTACTACCAACATTTTGGAGTTTCGAGAAGGGGGGGGGAGAAATGAAAAATTACAATTATGAAGTATTGAATGACCTAATTATAAAAGTTCAATGAATTACTTTTTTTTTGCAAAATTAATAACCATAAATTTTCAAACATATAAACTACTACATTTTATGTAAATATTTTAAATTACCTGAATTAATTCTTTAAAAAAATTATCTAATTTCTGCTGCTTTTTTTATTTTCTGATGTTTGTGGGCTTGTCTTTCTTTTGTGGTGAACTTCATAATTGCAGGAAGGTTGACTTTTATTTTCCTCATTTACAGTTGAAGAAATTCCTCCCTCGAGAACTGCATATGCGGAGGTAGAAGCAGTTTGCCTTTTTCTGCTAATGTAGAAGGTTTTTCAGAGACTTTTATAGGTGACTCATCTGAAATACATGTTTTTAAGTCCTCTTGATATGTTTTCCAACTTCTGTTCATATTCAGTAAGAGATCTTTGTGAATTGGATCAGTCATTGGATTTTTTTAGCCATATTTTTCACATGAGGTTTCTTTAGAAGCCATTAAGTCATATTTAATAGTCTGCACTGCATCTAGGGAATCAATCTTAAGAGAGGTTTTATAGT